TTATTATTATTATTATTGTTATTATTATTATTATTGTTATTATTATTATTATTATTACAATAATAAAAGCAATAACAATAATCGTCATTATTAATAGTGTTTCAATATTATTAATGGTTGTAATAAATAGTGTTACTACGATTACTTGCAGGTTGATTCCTTGAAGGAGGCGCAGCACTTCAATTTTTTATCATTGTTATTTGATTGTGAAAATTATTATCATGTGCATTATTCTACTAAGGGAGCACGTGTAAATTTCAATGAGTAGTCTATAACATATATAAATGAATAATAAATATATATTGGTGCTGGATGGTGAAGAGAGTTAAGCCGTAATGTCATCAGGATCGTCATGCTGTGATCGAAATATATGTTGTGATTCTGATTTGGATCTGGTGAATTAATTTATAATGAATTGCAAAAATATTTTTTATTCATGAGAATAATGACATTTTCTAATTTAGCTTTGTATACTTATAAAAATATATGAATGCCATTTTTGTGAAGCACTGGTTTAGTGGAATGCTTTGGAGGGATCAAATTGAATGTTGTATGGTTATATAATTAGTTTTTGATAATTGTAGTTGAATGATGATCTGGTGAATGATATCGAGAGGTTCGCAGCATATGTGGAAAGGTTGCGGCGGTCACTGGATTCATCGACATCAGTTCCAGGTACTTGTTCATATAAGTAATAATCATTTATCTAACACACAAACGAGCGATACACAAACAAAAGTGAACATCAGCTTTTATTGGTCGCTAGCCTTTCGACCACACACGATTTGAACTTTCGGCTAACTGCTGTTGTTGTTGTTATGGCAATTTGAAGTGTTTCAGCTTTTCGAAGAATGCAGCAAAAATTTTTAATGGTTAAATCAAAATAGGGGGAAAATGTGTTACTGATCGATTAAACTACATAGACCTTGATCTGAAATAAAATGCGGTCCACAATTGCCAGTGGAGTACTCGAATTTAGTGTTGTGCGGGGAGTTCCCGAATTTCCCCGACCTTTTTGGAGCCTCGGGAAGATCGGGGACTGTCCGCGTCCCCGAAATGTCCCCGATTTTCCTCGTCCCCGGCTCCTCCAGAATTGTCGGCGCTCCCCAAATTTTCGGGGAATCTCCCCGAAATTCCCGAGGAAAAAATTAAATTGTAATCAACCGCGTCCTTGCGAGAGATTCGAAGTTGAATATTAAATCATTGTTCGCATGTTTGCTTTTAAGGCCCCACTACCATCCTGTCTCAGCTCATAACATTTCGTGATTATCAACGAATTGAGTGGCGCTGCAACGAATTTTTCTTTGTTTTCATCGGTTTTCATTCAAGTTTTTTTTCCGTTTTCTCCGTTACTTTTGAACGTGTTAGCTGTTATCGAACGTGTTGGGTGTTGTCACGCATGCCTATTAATTATATTAGCGCATTGACGAATCATGAATTCGTGCGTTAATTCTTTCCCAAGATTAAGATACGTGTAGTACTGAGCGATTGTCTACTCATAGCAATGTGTGCGCAGCGATATCAGAGCAATGAACAAAAAGGGGAAGGTGTGGTCAGGGGTAGCGTTGTGTGGAAGTATTTCCGTATTTGCGAGAAAATATTTCCGTATAATATTGCTATTTTTATCATTCATTTCATTGTTAATATTTGAATAAAATACTGTTGGTATAACTGCATTGTGCCTTCGCAGTTATCGCTTTCCTAGCCTAAAGATTACTTTTTTTTTCAATGCTTTTCCATCAAAAAATCGTGTTTTCAAGGTCCTACTGACTCTAGTTCCAAAGTTACATCTTTGAGGAATTTCGAGGAGTCGGGGGCGGAGATGAGATTGAGTTTTCTTCCAGAAACTCCCCGTCCCCGAAATACTTACAATCTCCCCGTCCCCGACTGCTTTTCTTTCCCCGCACAACACTACTCGAATGGATTGATGAATTGCATGATTATAGTAGATGAATGCTTTGTGTTATAGTAATGATTTGTGTAATGACAAAATATGATCAGCGGTACTCGTCAAGTTTGCTTCATCCGATCGACATCATCACCTTCTTCTTTAAGTTATTCGTGGATGTGAACCAAGCAATCCAACAGTCTATATTAGAGTGTATCTGATCAATGGACACCGGATACGGTAGCTGTGCACTGCGAGTGCATCTTTCGCACTGCAAATATGCATGAAAAACCCCGGCTCACATCAAAATAAAATTACTGCTGGGCACTAATGAGTTGATGATGATGATGTTATAGCGTAACGGCAGTTTTGAAATAGGATTACAAAACGTTCAAAACGAATTTCAAACTCTTTTGTAAAGGTTTGATTGTTCAGTAAAAGCCAAAGCAGATCTCTTACAAAAGGATGTTAGGGCAAGAAATCAGCTTGGTCATACTTAAACTGATAAATAAGTAGAAGATAGGGTTGGGTGGAGAGCCAACGATTATTTACGAGACTTCGGGCGCATCGACCCTACTGTTTACTTTCGACCGCTTCCGAATTCGATTTTACCCTCAACCCAACCCTCCCAAAATAAATCAGATGATTATTGATATGCTATTAGGAAGAGAACAATTATCAAAATTTAAATTTATGTACATTAAAAAAAAACAAGGAGAATTGATGCCTTCTGTATATATAATAAAACTCAGATGGAGAATCTATGTGTGTTTCGGTTCACTCAGCGCTTTCAATGGTATCGCAATCTGTACGTGATTTATTGGTCAGATATCCGATTTTTAAGACTTCACAAGTTCTTTTACCAGCTAGTCAGCTCGTTCATAGTGTTAAAGGTAATTATTATTGTTTATTCGTTTATTGTGACTGTTGTTATTTAAAATTATAAGCAAACATTTTGAAAGAAGCGATGGCGTTTATTGGAGTGTGAGATGGAATTTTATAACTCTTCTGATACAACTGTTATGTAATATTTATACATATGTATGAATTTTACATAGTATAATATATTTTTGAAATAGCATTCAAATAAAATATTCAATTTAACACATACATATATGTGTTTGTATATAAATGTACATTTATTTTAATTTATTTCATTAATTTCAGAATTGAATTTTGATAATTCAAATATAGATTCATCGAGAACACTGACATGCCTTGATAAATTAGAGGCTGCTGTTGGTAATACATTAAAGCAATTACTGTGAGTTTATTATTATTCTTATTATCGTTTTGTATATATATGTGTATATATATATGTGTGTATATATATATATATATATATATATATATATATATATATATATATATAT